TGGTTTTAGTTACAGCTAATCTTCAGTTCGGGGTGGACTGATTCTCATTTTTTTGAGGTCAATTCTTGGAATTGTGGCAGCTCAGGTTCTTGGTTCAGTCTGGTCATCATGTAGTTAACTTTTCCATCTGAGGTTTTAGTGTCTACAAGTCCGCTCATAGGATATGGCTCAGAATATTATCTGTAGCCCTTGAGAAAGAGCTAAAAGTCCTTGACTGTACTTAGTGACTACATTATTATTATTTAGTCTCCTTTGACTATTTTCCTTTGTTTTCACATTTCTCAATTCTCTGATTAAACTTATTCTTGACTAAAGTTTTCCACAGGCAAAAGGCAGGCAGAGGACATGGTGGGGAGTGACAAGGTCTTGCTCCGTTTCATTAAGACAATATAAATTTAGTCTCTTACAGTTCTGAAGACTCTGAAGAATCTTTTTCTTAAAATTTTGCTTGTTTTTTTTGTTTGCCTTTTTTTTTTTTTTTGCTTAGTGGCCATGTGTATTTCTTGGCTTGTAAGTCTGTTCTTCCATCTTCAGAGTGCATCAGTCCACTCTCAGCATCTATCATCATCACATCACCTTCTCTTTGTCAGATCTCCTCTGCTTCCTTTTGACATCTATGATTACATTTAGGGCTCACCTGGATAACCCAGACTGTCTCCCTATCTCCAAAGTCTTAATTCATTAACAGCTGCTAAGTCCTTTTGCCATGTAAGATAACAGTCACAGGTTCTAGGGATTAAGACCTTGAGAGTCTTTAGAAGAGTTGTTCTTTAGCTCACCTTGTCCCCAACTGAAGGTATCACTTCCCCACCCAAACCTGGTCCTCTCCTCTGGTAGACAGAGTGGTTTCTCTGTTTGGTTGCCAGGGGCAGAACCTGTAACACATTCTTGACAATCCTTTCTCTTCTCTGACATATCTGATCTTTCCCCAGGACCTCACAGTTTTACGGTTATTTTTCAAGTTTTTAAAACATCAACTCCACTGCTGAAAGCTTAGTCTGTTGTTTCTTGTTTGGAATATTCCAGAAACTCCTAATTAGTCTCTTCTGTTTTACTGTACCTTTGACAAAACCAAACCAAACCCCAAGCCACCTACCCCCTAAAAAAAGGCAAACCTGGTAACTTTCTTTTCCTTTTACTACTTTAGATCCTTTAGTGACTTCCCAGATTCTTAATGTGATCTTCAAGGATTTCTATAATCCAGCTACAGTTTGTTTCTCCAGTCTCATCTTTATTTTTCTCTTTTGTTTTCTATTTAGCACCATTAGCTTTCTTTTAGACCCCGGAAAGAGTGATGCTTAACGATTTTGTTTCCTTTAAATTTGTTATGTGTGCTTAGTCGCTCAGCTGTGTCCGACTCTTTGAGACCCTGTGGACTGTAGCCTGCCAGGCTCTTCTGTTCATGGGGTTCTCCAGGCAAGAATACTGGAGTGGGTTGCCATGCCCTCTTCCAGGGGATCTTCCCGACCCAGGGATCGAACCCAGCTCTCCCACACTGCAGGCAGGTCTTTACCCTCTGAGCCACCAGGGAAGCCCAAGAATACTAGAGTGGGTAACCTATCCCTTCTCCAGGGGAACTTCCCAACCCAGGAATTGAACCGGGGTCTCCTGCCTTGCAGGCCGATCTTTACCAGCTAAGCTACCCAGGAAGCTCTTAAACTTGTTCTACAGAGTTTAATTCATTGTTACTTTTGAGGAACAGTTTATTCCCTAGATCAAGATCCCATGTTCTCCTTCATAGTGTCCTGTAAGTGCCTGAAGACTTGTCACACTTTATAGTTAAATATTTGTTTAGTGTCTGCCTCTTTCTACTAGACTGTAAGTTTACAGGGACTAGTTAAAGGTCTGGTTTGTTGTATCTGTATTTAGGACAGTTTCTGATACTGGCCTTCCTGTAATCCTTGTGCTTTATTTAAAGTTATGTAAGATGACTATTCTGTGAGAAGATTCCAAGTATTTGAAGATTATTGTGTCCCTATTTTAATAATTTCAAGTCATATACTTATGAAATATTTTTAATTTCATCATTCTTCATCCAGTGTTTTGATTTCCAAGTCACTAATCATCTTGGAGAAGGAAATGGCAACCCACTCCCAAGTGCTCTTGCCTGGAAAATCCCATGGACTGAGTAGCCTGGTAGTCCATGGGGTCACAAAGAGTTGGACACAACTGAGTGACTTCACAGAATCATCTTAGTTGTTCTCTTTTGAGTGTGCTTTTGTAATAGACTTCATTTTTTTTAGCCCAGAGCAGGAGATAATACCCCAGATGTCACCTGTGCAGTATGGAGTATTACTTCCTTTAGTACAGAGTGTACATATGATACAGGCTAAACCACCGTAACAGAGAGGCCACACATATAGTAGTTAGAACAAAACAAGTTTCTCTCTTAAATAACAAGTCCAGAGGTAAGCAGCTCTGTTCCATCTGATGTCATCTTGGATTCTACTTTTGTTCTATCTTTGGTTTTTCCATTTCCTTTGACTTTGTCATGTGCATGGTTGAACTTGGCCCTCAAAAGAAAAAAAGAGGAAGTGGAGAGCAGGAAGCTTATATATGCTATAGAAATTGCATATCTAACTTATTCTAACATTTTGGCCAGAACATAGTCATACTTAGCTGCCAAGTAAGTATGCCAAGCAGCTCTATGCCCAAGAAGTTTTGTAAGTAAAAAAAAGGATAGCGTATTTACTGGGCGATAATTAGTAATTTGCTTGTTTGACATTAGGTCACAGTACATGTTGAATTTCTGGCCATAAATGTTGTCAGTCTTCTAACTTGTGCTGTTAATTTTAAAATACATTATAACATTAGCATTTATTAAATTATTTTATATGAACAGTAAATACTGCTAAACAGCTCTACTACCACCACCTTTTTTGGGGGCCAGAGTTTAATAGCTGATTATTTCTAGACTCAGTACGCATAAATTCAGCAATTTCTCCTCTTCGGGTTTACTTTCTTATCTTTCCAGAATAGGAGAGGATGTTTTATGTTACTTCACGTTACATATTAATTATTCTAGGTGTTTGCCTTTTTATGTTGTCTTCAAGTTCAGTGCTCTTGAATTTAGTGGTACTTAAATTAGGTAATCATGGAGTACTGTATAAAGATGTTAATTCAGTTTCACTTTGTGTGTAAAATTTAAAGCCATATGATTTCAGATTTTTAATGCATTAAGAGTTGTATAATCTCAAAGCCAGCAGGCCACGTAAATTGATGAAAACTACCACATGGCTGTGTACTTCTTCAAGATTAAGTTATGTGAGATTTAAATGGTGACTCATCTTTGGGAGACTCACCATGTAGTTTGAAAGCCTTTGCTGGAAGGAATTTCTGATAATTGGGATAGTTGGAGGAGGTATTTGGAGGAGACTGATAATTCTTTTATTAACCCTGAAAGCATATGGTTCCTCGAGCTGGTATCAATACCAAAGTTATATCTGCTTTAGTTGTTTAGGGTGCTTGTCTTAGAAAGGCTAGAATAATGCTTGCTTAGAAAAACTTCCTTACCTCTATATCACATAATATATTCTTTTTCCCAGACTGCCTCCCCTGACTTTTAATAGCATGATGACCATACAAACAAATGGAATGTAATTCATACAAATATATGCAAGGTAATTCTGGTCTGGGATCACCTAAGGAGATCTGGGGGGAAAGATTCATAAGGAATTAAGAAATGACTGCTACTTGATAACAAGATCTCAGACCTTTTGTGTGTGTGTTTGTATGTGTATGTGTAGGATGACATTAAATTGTCTATAGAAAAAAAAGCAGTGGGATGATTCTGAAAACACTCCTAAAAAACTAGCAGTAAAGAACTGTAAGAAATACTAGAAGGTCCTTTATTCTTTCTGTTTAGCAAAATAGGCAGTTTTTGAAACAGTAACAATTGTCTTTAAAAAAAATTTTGACTGTTCAGTAGAGACCTACCTTTTAAAAGTATAATTATATATTAGGCTCTCAACTTAATCTGCATCTTACATAAGGTAGAAAATGCTAAGTTACTGAACCAAGGTGGAATGCTGGTTAGAATCTAGTGTTTTAAGTCATCTGTATGTACAGAATCTGTCTCTCCATTTGAGAAACAATTCATTCTGAATTGGAGGTTGGAGTATTAAGAACATACATGATATGACTAGAATTAATATCAGCTTGTATTGTATTGTTGGTAGATTCTGTGTGAAGGTTAGGATTCTCTGGGCTTGGTATTTCTTAGGGCTGCTTAGAACATGCCTTAAGCTTACTAGAGAGTTGATAACAAAATGTCTATGTGCTTGCAGGTAACATTAGATTATTATAAGAGTACTCAGGAAGGCTTCAGAGGAAAAGTCTAGAACTGATCTCTGACAGTTAAGATTTAGGTTGACAGAAAAGAAGACGTTCCAAGAAGGCAGACTCAAGAGAAAAATCACTGCAGGTAGATGCAAGTTTGGCATAAATTGGTTAGAAAAAATGATGAGCCTACTTGGGTGGAGAATCTTATATGGAAGTGATGAGAGATTGGTTTTGATAATAGTCATCCTTGTATCTGGCTTGATGTGAAAGCTTCCAGCCTAGGGACTACAAAATGAATATGGAAGATTAATTTGACTTTTTTGTCAAATTAATAGTCTTTTTTGTTTTTTTTTTCCTGTCCTGTTAGTTTAACTATTTATTTACTGATTTATTTATTCCTAATAAAGATCACAAGTGTTTAAAGAGTTAAAAATCATCATTCCCAGAGAAATTTAAGTATATCTTAATGTTTTCGGTATTTCCTTGAGATTTCCCTGGGACCATGGACTGACTTGCATTTTGGAATTTCTATTTGTGGTTCATATGTCAATATATTTGTCAGTGTGCCAGGGTGCCTTTCTGTAACTGTTGATTTTATCCAAGGTACTGACCATTGAATTCTTAGTATGTAAAAGAAATAGGAACATTGGAAACAATACGCTGTCCTGATTCTTATAGTATACTTCACTCCTTTCCGCCCCCCTTTCGTTTCATCTCAGGTCAACAGGACATACTGCTGTGGCACCTACCGAGCAGGTCCTATGCGGCAGATAAGTCTCGTTGGAGCAGTAGATGAAGAAGTTGGTGATTATTTCCCAGAGTTCCTTGATATGTTAGAAGAATCACCATTTCTGAAAGTGAGTGTTTTCCAGATTATTAAAGTTCTGATCACTATTTAAATGGATACTTTGCATTAAAAAATTTTAAGCTAATTGTAGGGGCTTCCCAGGTGTCGCAGTGGTAAAGAATCTGCCTGCAATGCAAGAGGCACAAGAAATGCAGGTTCGATCCCTGGGTCAGGAAGATCCCTTGGAGGAGGAAACGGCAACCTGCTTCAGTATTTTCGCCAGGAAAATTCTGTGAACAGAGGATAGACTGACAGGCTACGGTCACTGGGGCCACAGAGTCAGACATGACAGAGTGACTGAACACATGCATACACAAGCTAATCTTATCTTTTAAAATTCAGTTTTATCCCATATTTTGAAGATAAATGTTCAGAAAATTATTTAAGTAAAATACTTAACTTCACTGATTCTTTTTTACATATAAATTACTATCTAATACAGCATTATTTTTCTTCTTATACACACACAAAATAAGCTTCCTAAAGCTTTCTTTTGGATGTGAGGGGTTAACTTGTAAGTAATCTAAAAAATTTCCTTTAACGTGACTTATTCTTCTGACTTCCAGATGACTTTGCCCTGGGGTACACTTTCCAGCCTTCGACTCCAGTGTAGGTCCCAGAGTGATGATGGGCCCATCATGTGGGTCAGGCCAGGAGAGCAGATGATCCCTACAGCAGACATGCCAAAGTCACCCTTCAAAAGACGACGGTAAACAGTGGTTTTTCTCAGATAAGCAAAAGCCCTTTTTTAGTTGGTTGCTTATAGAAATGATTGAGAGTTGAGCAGTTTGAAAACCATTTTTTTCTGATTTATTTAAAGAGCTGTCTTAAGTAAATCTCTTTTAGTTGTCAGTTCCTTAGTCCAGTTCACTCATTACACAGATACCAGAGTGAGGCATCCTTTTAAAAATTAAAAAAAAAATTCCTTCTATTCTTAAAACCTAGGCTCTAATTGCCTGCGAATAAATGTCCAAACTCCTTTGTGTGGTTGACAAGGTTCTGTCATCATCTGGCTCTGAAAGTATCTCTTCTAGGTGTATCTGCTTTTAGTCTGGTCCAGTCACACTGAATTCAGTTTCTAAACCATGGTCTTTCACATCTGTGTGCTTTTGCCCTGCTCTTTTTACTTGGAGTAGCATCCCTTCATCATCTTCCTTTCTACCTGATATACTCTTAATGAATTTTCCAAACAACTTGGATGTCACTTCCTTTGTGAAACTTTTCTTTGTTCCCTTAAACAATTGGTCATTCCCTTCTCTGTGCTCACACATCATTCTGTTTGTTAATAATCTGTTGACAAGTTTTTGGTTTTTACTGTAAATTTTAACCTTTTTGAGGACAGTCTAATTCTTCATAGCACATAGCAAGTGATCGGTGTTTGCTGATTAAAACCAGTGATGTATAGTAATTCATATTGGCCTAACATATTTTTTTGTTTGAAGCAAAATTTGTTTAAAACAAATGTAGATTAACTTACTTTAGGACTATGAGAACAAATGTCATTTAATGAGACTGAATATTGCATATATTTGCTTAGGAACTCAATATTAAGTACCCCAAAATGAGTTTTAACAGATTAGCTTTAGACCTTACTTTAAAACTCAAAGAAAAGTAATACTAGCGTTAAGTATGGATAACCTTAGTACTTGGTGATAATTGTGAAAATAGTTTATAAAAACTATAAACACGAGGTGGTAGCATGATAGAACATGGCAATAAACCAAAACTTCAGCACATCGCTAAACCACAGCAGTTTTTGTACCTCATAATGATGAATCTTGATATTCTAAATTCTTAAGTATTGTATATATTTTTTTATTCTATAATCTTTCCCCAAAGGAAATAATTGTTTGGTTTCCTGATTGGTATAAACTTAAAAAACAAACACCAGATAACAGAAAAAAAGTAAAAAGGCAAAAAATATCTATAATCCCACTCATTTAGGCATGTTAACCTTTCAAATTTTGGTCTATATTCGCTCATAAATTTTCTTTGTACACAGATGAATTCCTTCTTTACATGATTATTACTTTAAAATGTGTCTTATTAAGATGCAGCCATATCATCATTTCTAAATGACTATGTAGTTTTTTGACTGTATGGTTGTATCACGGTTTATTTTACCAATTCTTTATTAGTGTAAATTTTTTAGTATGTTGATAAATGATACTTGGTAAACATGACAGTGCTGTGCTGGAACCAGTTTATACCAGCTAATAGGGCCAATATTAGCCTCGTAATTCCACATTGAGTGAGATCACATGAATAGCTTGAAATTGGCCATGTTGGGAGTATTTATACCACAGAAATCAGCAAATCAGCTATAGGTTGGTACAAAAGTTATTGCAGTTTCGGACTGTGAATTTTAAATGATTTTAACTAGGCTCAAACACTCTTTATTAGTCAAATTAGGAACCATTACAGTCAACAACAGCTGTACAACCACCAGTGTACTACAACGTACAACAACCAATGAAAAATAAGTTTGTTTATTTCTGTAGCATAAAAATCCATGCTTGGGGATCAGCAAACACTTGGAAAGCATTTTCTGTCTCATGCTGGTTGTGGAAGCATTTTCCCTGCAAAAAGTTGTCAGGATGCTTGAAGTAGTGTTAGTTGGTTGGCAAGAGGTCAGGTAAATATGGCAGATGAGGCAAAACTTCGTTAGCCTAATTCATTCAATTTTTGAAGTGTTGGTTGTGAGACGGGTGGTCAGGCATTGTCGTAGACAAGAATCGGGCCCTTTCTGTTGACCAGTGCCAGCTTCTTGCATTGTAGTTTTCCATGATTTCAGAGGTAATGATTTTGCTAGGATTCAAAAAGTTGTAGTGGATCAGACCGACAGCAGACCACCAAACAGTGACTATCACCTTTTTTTGGTGCAAGTTTGGCTTTGGGAAGTGCTTTGGAGCTTCTTCTCGGTCCAACAGTGAGCTGGTTGTCAACAGTTGTCGTATATAATCCACTTTTCGTCACATATCACAATCCAATCGAGAAATGGTTCGTTGTTGTGTAGAGTAAGAGAAGATGACACTTCAAAAGGATCCTTTTTTTGATTTGCAGTTAACTCGTGAGGCATTCACTTAGCGGGCTTTTTCATCTTTCCAACTTGCTTCAAATGCCAGACAATCATAGAACGGTCAAGGTTGAATTCTTCGGCAACTTCTTGTGTAGTTATACGAGGATCAGCTCTGATGATTCTTTCAGTTGGTTGCTGTCACCTTCAAATGACTGGCCACAGTGCTTCTCATCTTCAGGGCTCTTGTCTTCTTTGCAAAAACCCCTTGAACCACTGCTGTGTTCTATGTTTGTTCGTAGTTCCTGTGCCACATGTGTTGATGTTGCGAGTTGTCTCCTGCTTTACAACTCATTTTGAACTCGAATAAGAAAATTGCTCAAGTGTGCTTTTTGTCTAATGTTATTTCTATAGTCTAAAAGAAATACAAAGTAAACAGCAAACAATAAGTCATTAGCAAAACATAAAGCAAGAAATGCACATTAAAATGATGTATAACATAATTACATTTATTTAAGAATGTATTCCAATATTAAATGGCAGATTTCAACAATGAAAACTACAATTACTTTTGCACCAACCTAATACAAATCAGCCATCTCCCCCACTAAAGCCAGTTGCTAAACATGTATGGTACATCATTGTGGCTGGCTAGTGCGTTGACTGGCTGGTTGGTTGATAGGTAGGTAGGTAGGTAGGTAGATATTTTTTGTGTATATGCATGTTTATTTTCTTAGTAGAAATTGCTAAAGGCTCAAAGTATTATAAATTTCTAAATGACTTCCAGAAATGTACCAATTTATATTTCCACCCACATAGTAAGATAGTACCCTTTCCCCCGTACCCTCCACTAATATTCTCTTTTTTCATCTGAGACAAAAATATGTTATTTTAATTTGCCTTTTTTGAGGGTTTTGAATTTCTTCTGTGATTCCCTTTTAATTTTCTTTACTTATATTTCCATTGGGATGTTGTTTCTTTTCTCTTTACTCACAGAAAGTTTTATTCATATGTTGTCAGATTTATCTTTTCCTCTGAGATTTTTCTTAGTGGCAAATTTAGAAAGGCCTTCTCTCATTTAGTGTTACAGAATACTCACATTTTCTCCTAGTTACATGTGATTTCAGTATTATGTATTTAACCTGGTGTTGATTTCAGTATAGAGGGAGAGATTCTGTTTAACATTCTTTCCAAGTAATTAGACAGTTGTACCCACATTGTTTATTTAACAATTTATTATTTCTCCACTAATCTGAGGTACTATCCAATTTAATTTTTATTGGGATTATATATTCTTAAGAGAGGCATCAAAAGCACTTTGAATTAGAATGAGTAAATCAGAACTTAAACAGTAATGTCATCTTTATGTGTTATTGAGAATGTCCTGTTGCTGAAAATGATGAAATTAATGTAGAAGCTGTTTAGTTATCAAGGGCACTGCAAATGAAGATGATCTTTAAATTTATGAACTCTAGAGTTAAAGAAATATATGCACAGGGTTTTAAAACATCAAACAGTATAGGGGGTTTATAATTAAAAAAAATCCTGGCCAGCTCTTCCTCCAGATGCAAGTACCTTTTTTTCACCAGAGGCAAAAATGTTTTCTGTTTTCATGGTATACTGGGTAGGGATTCCTCCCATTGGGGATTATCCAGATAGTTAAATGACTCTTACTCTAGCCTTTTCCTCCCCCTTGTACTTTTTGTCAACTGTGCTTATACATTGTTGAGATTAATTCATGTTCTGTTTTAAAACTGTAATTAGGCTCTATATGCTTTGTCAAGAGGAGTATTCTAAAATTTGAAAGTCAGTAAATGGCATTTAAAGTAATATGGATAGCAAGTTTATTGGAGGCTAAAATTCATTTATTCTAAGGTTCGAGTGGTTTGTTGTCACTCAAAGGAATAATAAACAAAAGGATCTTTTCTATATTTCACCTAGATACTGAAAATCATGCCACATTTTAGTTTGGTTCATATTTGGATCTTGCTGGTTATTTTTGAATTGTTCTGTTTTTCTTATTGTTTCTGATTGCCTTTTTTGAGGGGATTCTATACACTTTTCTTGACCATATTTCTAATACCTTCTATTCTTTCTGTTGTTTAAGATTGGGCTTCCCTGGTAGCTCAGACAGTAAAGAATCTGCTTGCAAAGCAGGAGACCTGTAATCCCTGGATTGGGAAGATCTCCTGGAGAAGGGAATGACAGCCCACTCCAGTATTCTTGCCTAGAGAATTCCATGAACAGCGGAGCCTGGTGGGGCTATAGTCCAAGGGGGTCACAAAGACTTTTTTCTAAAATCACACTAGCTTTATGTATGGCTTTGGCTAGTGCTTCCTTTTGGCTTTTTTTTTTTTTTTTTAAATAGCTTCTTTGAGGGAGAATGTTGTTAGTTACATTGCATTCTTTGCTTTTATCATACCCTCAAGAATCCAGAATTTCAACCATACTATCTGGTCTAATACATCCCTTTTTACCTGGAAATGTTTTGGAGCTCTGTGTTTTTTCACCTCAGTGTGAAAAGCTTATTTCACAGTTATCTACCTAGTAGTTCCCATTTAATGCTTTTCTACCTTAACTTAACGGTTGTCTTCTTTCTGGGTTTATTTTTTTTTCTGCTTGATCACATACTCATTATATTCTAAGAAAATGAAGGTATTGAGTGATCATAATGTCTGAAAATTTCTTTTTCTGTTGTTAAATATGACCTGTAGTTTATCTGGATTCTACAAGGTGTATTTTCCTTAGGATTTTTTAACATTGCCCCAATGTCTTCTGGTATCTAATATTGTTTATGAGAAATCTTAATGCCAGTGTCATCACTGTTCTTTTGTAAGTAACCTATTTTCTTTTCCTCTCTGGGAGCTTAGTTTCACAATGACACATCTGTGCTTGGGTTTTTAATTCCTATTCTTATGTTTTAATCCTTTTTGTTGTTTGGTGGGTTCCTTAAAGTTAAAAATTCATGTCTTCTTTCATTTCTGGAAATGTTTCTTGTTTAGTTGCTTCAGTAATCTCTCCATTTCTCTATTACTTGTTTCTGTTGTTGCTTGTAACCAAAACCATTGGTTTTGGAAACTGCTGTTGGTTGAATAATAGATCTCCCAGTTTGATTATCCTCATATTTCTTATTATCTTTCCGCTTTCGATTTTGGTGCATTTACTTGACATTTGTCTTCTGACAAAATTCTTAAATTTCAGTGTTGTTTATTTTGGTGTTTTTCAGGCTGCTATAGACTGTCTTCACGTCTCTGGTGATTCTTGGTTGACTTGTTTCTATTTAGAACTAAAGCATTGGGCTTATTGAGCATGCTTTTTGTATTTCAGTAAGGCTTGTCAATAGGTAGGTTTCACTTTAGAGTTAACAGACACAGAAGTGGACATTAAAGGATATGTCCAAATGCCAGAGGATTGTGTGAGTTTATATAGTAAGTTTGATGTGTTTAGAGAAGAACATGCAGGATTTTTGGGCTGAAAGTTTTATCAGAATGGTTTTGGTTACAGGCAACAAAATTGATTCAAACTGGTTCATAAAATAAAATGTTGTCTTGTGTTTCAGGAAGTTCAGAGAGGTTGACTCTAGGCAGCTTATAGTCAGTGGCTCAGTGTTGTCAGCGAGGAACGAGGTCTTTTCCTTCACTCTCCTCTGTCCTTCTCCCTGCCTAGGCCCTCTGTTTACAGTGGCTTCCTCTATGGTTGCTGCTGGATGGTGATAGCAGTTCTAGGTGTACGTCTGGATCTGGTTAGAGCTAAAGAAAGAAAAGAGTGTTTTCTTTTACGACTTTCTTAGGAGCCAGGGAGCTTCCCAGAAGTCTTAGCAGATTTCCTCTCATTGCTAGCCAGAATCGGTTTGTGCTTATTCCTATATCGTTCACTGGCAAGGGGAATGAACTTAACATAATTTGCCAGAACTCATCAGGATCCATCTCTGCAGCTTGTGAATGAGGGTAGGGACAGAGACCTAATAAAAACTAGAGTTCTTTCAAAGAAATTAAGGTCAGAGAGAAATGCTGGTGTGTCACTTACATTGCCCTCTGTGTGAGTTTAAATACCTGACCACATTTCTGCCACTGGAGTGGCAGGTGACAGGTTTATTTGCAGAATTTCACTTTACTTGCTCTTTTTTCAGCTGTACTTCCTTTCTGTCCATTATCCTCATTTTATTAACCTTTGAGCTGCCATTCCCTTCTGGTTGAGTCCAGCCCTGTGGCTTTCTTGCCTCACTTTCGTTAGTCCAGAAACACCTTTATCATCTTCCAGAAATGTGTTGATGGTGTTCATTTACTGATTCATTTTCTTTTGTTGCTAAACATTCATTCCTTTACTGTCACCTTTAGATGATTATATTTAGAAGGTTTTGAGCACACAAAAAGCAGAAGATAATGTAGTAAACTCCCATGTATTCAGTAGCAACAGTTACCAATTCATAGCCAGTTCTGTTTCATCTATAATCCCATCCATTCCTTCACTTCTGTTCCCCACCCTTACTGCATTAACTTGAAGTCTTTTACTTCCATTTTCATGTGGAAGGAGATGTAGATGCTCAGGTTGCCATCTTCAGTTAAGTCTAGTAGAATGCTTTGAGACTTAAAAATGACTCCAGGTATAAGAAACATACAGCCTTGAATTCTGAATCAAATTTTCTGTTACTAGGCAACTCATCTTTTGGTAATTTCTTATTTCATATTAGAGTACAGCCAATTAAAAATGTTGTGATAGTTTCAGGTGGACAGCAAAGTGACTCAGCCACACACATACATGTATCCATTCTCCCCTAAACTCCTCTTTCATCCAGCTTGCCCCATAACATTGAGCAGAGTTCCCTGTGCTATATAGTAGGTCCTCGTTGATTATCCGTTTTAAATAGAGCAGTATGTACATGCTAGAGAGCTATATATATTTGTCTATTTATTTATAGTGTTTGTATATTCAAACACCACATTTGTGCCAGATCAGGATAACAGCTGTCATATTATCAAGACATCATGACTGAGAAAAGGAGGTCACCCCATTCAGCATTACACTATGGCATGTCAGATGCTGATGATCGAAATCGCTGAACCTTCTCAGCCCTCATTTAAGATTTGGTATTTTAGTAGACTTTTTTGTCTTACTGCTGTTAATTTTTTATGTTGCTGCTTTCTTCCTCCTCATTATTTTGAAACCAAATTGACTACAGATCAATGAATGAAATTAAAAATCTCCAGTACCTACCTCGGACCAGTGAACCCCGGGAAGTCCTCTTTGAAGACAGGACAAGAGCTCATGCTGATCATGTAGGTCAGGGGTTTGACTGGCAGAGTACGGCTGCTGTTGGGGTTTTGAAAGCTGTACAGTTTGGTGAATGGTAAGTTAATGGACCTCAATTGCAAGATTGAGTCCACATTTTCTTAAGGCAGCATTAACCAATTTGAAAAGTTGGAAACAGTTTTAATTGTGGTAAAATACACGTAACAAAATTAAAATGAAATCTTAACAATTTTTAAGTGTAGTAATGTTAAATATATTCAGATTGTTGTAAACAAATTTCTAGAACTTTTTCATCTTGCAGAACTGTAACTCTCTACCTTTTATTCAGTAACTCCCCTTTCTCCTCTCCCCCAGTTCCTGGCGAACATCACTCTATGAATTTGACCACTTTAAATACATCATATAAATGGAATCAAACAGTTGGTGTCTTTTTGTGATTTGACTTATTTCAGTTAGCATTGTATCCTCAAGGTTCATCCATATGGTACCGTGTGTCATAATTTCCTTCCTTTGAAAGGCTGAATAGTACTTCATTATATGTATATACTATGTTTTGTTTGTCCACTTGTCTGTCAGTGGACACTTGAGTTGCATCCACCTTTTGGCTTCTATGAACAGATATCTTTTCATACCCGTGCTTTCATTCTTTTGGGTATATACCCGGAAATGAAATTGCTAGATCATATAGTAATTCTATTTTTAATTTTGGGAGCAACAGCTATACTAGCTTTCTTAGAGGTTGCACCCTTTTACACTCAGTTAGGGCCTGGTTTTAACAAGGCTCAGAACATATTTAAAAGCTGTATTTTACTTTGTTTTTCATATTTATGCCTTTAGCGTCTTCAATATTGTAGAGTTTGGTTTGATCTTTAGAATTAGAGTTCAATCACAGGTTGACAGTAATATTTAATTTAAGTTAAAGATTATTTTTTTTCCTACTCTATACTTTGAAAACTGGAATGTGTGGTATTTGTGTTTGAGATGTATTCTGTCCATTTCTTTCTGTCAAGATGATGACGTCTGGTGGCATGGAGATGGTGGGGCAAAGTGGTTAGATGATTTAGTCATTGATGTTTTAAGTTTTATAACAGCTGATTTTAATTTTTTAAAAATTACTTTATTGATGTTTTATTTTTTTAAGTTGATAAAAGAAACAAATGTAAACTTTGTCCTTAGGTGTTATGCATCTATTTCTTTGCTAGTGTAGCAGTTCCAGGAACAGGAAGATTGAAATTGTCATCATTTTCCATTATGAGATGCTTGTTTCTAAAACTTAATTTTGTCAATCTTAGGAGTGATCAACCTCGCATAACCAAAGATGTGATTTGTTTTCATGCTGAGGATTTTACTGATGTTGTACAGAGACTTCAGTTAGACCTTCATGAACCTCCAGTTTCCCAGGTAAGAACTTTTGCTTTTTCATTGCTCCTTGAGTGAGATCTTGGAAATTAAGTATCTGTACTTATTTAATTTTGCATTTTATCTTTTAGTTGGATACATGGTATAGTGAATTTAATTTCATTTTAAAAGCTGTTTGTGGAGGATGTTGAAGATCATTAAAATGGAGCTTCCCAACCAGAATGCTTAGGGTCTCCCTTCAGTCATTGGGATGCCAAGTGGGCCTGAGGTGGTCAGAGGACCCAGGATGCTCAGTTTTGGCCATGAGCAGTCTCAGCTGTTAACCAAATTGCACTGTGTGCCCTCACCTACAAAAGGCTGGAAGACAGTGAAAGAAACAGATAAATGTTGCCCTGGCATGGGGCTAAGAATATTGATGTTTAGTTGCTTTTTGAATTATTTAATGATTCTGTAGGCCAGTCCTAATTTTAACCTGTACTTTGTTACTAGAAAAGTAGTAACATATGAGGAAAAATGTATCTCAGGAATTGTAGGAAATTGTAGTAAATTGTATATTGTATAGTATTGTTTGGCTTTAATTTGAACCTACTGTTTTCCTGTATTGATTATTTTATTTGACTTATTAATCTTTGCATATTTTACTTTAAAATCTCATGAAACTTTTTTTCCTCTTTTTAGTGTGTGCAGTGGGTGGATGAAGCAAAACTAAACCAAATGAGGCGGGAAGGCATTCGTTATGCTAGAATTCAGCTGTGTGACAATGATATCTACTTCATCCCTAGAAATGTCATTCATCAGTTCAAAACAGTGTCAGCAGTGTGCAGCTTAGCCTGGCATATAAGGCTTAAACAGTACCACCCTGTTGTGGATGCCTCTCAGAACACAGAAGGCAGTTCTAATGTGGACTGTGATTTAACTGGAAAGCAAGAATTAGAAGTTGACTCCCAGTGTGTGAGGATAAAAACTGAATCTGAGGAAACATGCACAGAGACGCAGCTTTTGACAACTGCTTCATCGTCCTTCCCACCTTCATCTGAACTTAATCTACAGCAAGATCAGATGACTCAGTCTATTCCAGTGTTAAAGGTGGAAAGTAGACTGGACTCTGACCAGCAACACAGTCTACAGGACCATTCAGGCACTCCTGTGTGACATGTATATATTCAAACACATTTTTTAACTTTTTTAAATTTTGATGTGAAGTTATAGTTTTATAACTGGCTTAAGTTAAGTTTTATTGGAGAAATCTTGCCTATAATTCTATAAAGAGAAATGACATTCCACAAATGTCAAGCATATCTTTTTTACACAGATTATGCAAAGTTAAGAGTTGTATCTTATCCCGTTAGTACAGTATGTAATAGTGGGTCTGCTGCTACTTTCTGTTTTAAGGTGTGAGGTAACAATTCAATCTCTTCTTCAAATCAAAATGAGAATTCTCTGGAATAACAGATTCTTATTTGGTAAATTAATTCACTTCCTTTAATTTTATCTTGACTTGTCTCGCCATTTTTGCTGTTTTTATGATAGAAGATCAGATTCATGATTTAGTACTTGTGCTTTTATGGCACAGTTCCAGTTTCTATGGTAAAAATGGCATAGGTTGCAGGAAAGAGGTCCTGCATCTTGTACATGGGCAAGTCATTTATTTAGTTTCAACCATAAAGAGCAGGTAGTTTCTAAGGAGTTCAGTGGCTCTCTGATTTCTTAACAAAAGAGAAAGCACAGCACTTTCTGATCCAAACTGTTTTTTTTTTTTTTTGTATCTGTTATTTAAAGCCCAGTGGATATTTCAATTAAAAATATCTAAAGATGAATAGTCCTTGGTCATTCATTCTCCATGGTTCATTAATCTCTTCTAGAATACTTGGTAACTATGGAAGATATTTTGGGTAAAAGAGATAATGTTGACATGATACTCTATATTGTTCTGCTTCCTAGCATCCTCACAATTTGTGTGGACACTTTTGCTTCCTAAACTGATCATGAGTATCAAACTTATAGAATGATATCTATTTTTCAGATGAGGCTGCCATATTTTGTGCATGAAACTTAGGAAAAACTATTTTTGTCACCTAGCATCAACCTCTTCATGATAAAGATTGAGATACTTCAGTTCACAGTTTCAACTGGTGAATACCTGGGTTTATTTATTATTGCTCTGTGTTGCTACTGTCTAATGAAGAATATGGCACTAGATTTCATTCTGGAGTTTCAGGTAGCCTAATCCTTATTAGTGCCTGAATATTTAACAGTTTTTTTCCTGAACAGGCACAGTTCATATAGCTAGTGTAGTCTTAACTTTCTGTTATTTTAGAATGTTAATGTGATACACATTTCACTTTCTCGTAGTTAATAATATGATAGGCCTTTTGCTTATTAAAGGAAGAGTACTCCCCACACCTAAGGCCAGATTCTTGTATCTACCTGGTTATAGTGCAATTTGGAGATTTTTTTTTTTTTCCTGGAGAGTGAGATTTGGAATATTTACATTAACATAGGCAAAAAAAGATGCTGCTTTATTACGTCTGTCACCATGGAAACATAGCTGCATCTTTTGAAATACAAATATGAATTTTCTCTAAAATATTCTGAAATAGGTTAAATCTTATATAAATATTACTTTGTGCAATATTGTTGTGTAGTTAAACGCATATTAGCAAAGTATAGAGGTCACTGTGTAAACCGATAGAAAAGTAACCATCAGCAAATACTGCAGTGATTAGTTAGAATCTGTATTATTCCTTATATATATGTATATGTATGTATTCTCTGTTACAAAGGATGAAGACAAATAGAGAAACATTTCAGTGTAAACCATTTATGAATTGGAAGTGATGTTGGTTTTAGTTATCTTTGTAAATAAGGTAATTAGAATGGTATGAAGAGTAATGTGATTATTGCAGGGGTGTTTCGAAATCCTGGGTATAAATTTTAGGGTAAATTCTAGTTTATCAAGACTAGTTTTTAAGGGACCTGCCTTTGAGGGTGTTTTTTGTTATTTTAGGGGGAGGGGGTGAATCACTGAGTATGTGGGTTTGGGTTATTTCTTGTTTTTGTTTTTCTGTCCAGAAGAATTTCATAGAGCTTTACCAGGCTGTGCAAAGTAAAATTCTTCTCAGGCAACATTTGCTTTTCAAAATAATCATGAAGAACAAGATTGTTAAAGCAAAAACTTTTTATTTTTTTCTTGTCTTCCAAGATCCGATTTCCCCATCTCCCACTTGCCATCCAGCAAATGCCATCTGTCATCTAAGCTGGTCATCGCTAATAAACAAGGAGACTGTCTCCTGACAGCCAGCACTGTGTGTAATCAGGAGCCAGCGGATCCACAAAGGCCTTCAATCAAAGACAGAGCCCCCTTTCTTTTTATAAAGCGTTCTACCCTCAACTCCAATATAACATACTGAAAGGGTATAGCGATGTTTGAAATCATGTACTAATAAATTCCTTGTATGTTAGAACTGCAATAGAACTGAGAGAGAAACATTTAGCTAGTAATGTATCTGGAAACTGAATGTCCTATGTGAGTATTAGATTTTAATAGCATGCTTGAAAGACTGATGAATATAAAAGCGCAAGTTTTGAGTTTGTTACTGCTTTAAAGCTGTATCCTAGTTTAGCGATACAAATGATAGCAACTTTTCTAAAATCATTAAATTATTTGGTTTGGTGGAGTGAGGCATGGAACAATCTGGCGTCTTCTGATTTGTAAAGTAGTGATGGCAGTGAAGTTGTAACTGAAGTTTAAGCTGATCTTCCTTTTTGGTATATTATCCGTTGTGCCAACTCTTTTGAGATTACTTGCAGAATGTGGCTATAAGTTTTAGTATTTTGTGGAGCAGAGGGATATTTTTTAAATGTGCTTATGGAAAAGGATCCAATAAATGAGTATTCCTAACTTAGTAATTTAGTAATTGAATGATTTTATGGTATTCACTAATCAGGAGAAAAGTCTTCCCCTTGCCCCAGAAGTTATACTGTAATTACCAGGATGTACTCGGAGTAGGATTATGATTCAAAGAAGTAGCCCAAATTCATAAAGCAATAATAATAAAAACGACAGATTTGCTTTCCCCTCCAAAGTTTTAACTCTTTACAAATGAATTCCTCGGCTTAACTGTACTTTTAATTTGCTAATTTAATACTTAGGATTTGTTTCACTGGTACTTTATTATTAATACTTCAAATTAAAAGACATCTGGAAGGTCCCCTTTCCCCTTAGAGACAGCTGGAATAACGACTAATATTAAAAGCTCTTGTAGGGGGAAAAAGGAGCTTATCAAATAAAATTATTTACTAAACCTTAGGAAAAGATGTTTTGCATCAGTCTTAATAGGCAAAAAGTTCATGCTTAGTGACTGGAGAGATTTTTGCTTATAGTTTTTCCCTCTATAAATACTGTCTAGAATGAAAGCTAATTTAGGAACAAGACTAACATTCAAAAAACCCTTAGTGCATATATTTTTAATTATTATTAGCTCATTATTAGATCATTTATTTTCATCTGTATTTGCCATTAAAATTTATTTGCATTTATATCTTTAGAATAATTGAGTTTGTGTCTTTTTATCATTGCTACAAGTTTTATAAAAAGAAACTTTCACTAGTACATGCCAGAGGTTCCTATTTCTGCTAAGTATTAATTTTTTAAAAACAGATTGTCGCTGTATTTATTGGTCATGCAGTAAGTAGAGGAAATATACAAGACAGATGTTTTTCTTTAGCACATGGACCTATCCTCATCCTGAAAGTTTGTTGCTTTAAAAGCAAGTATCTCTCCATAAATACTATGGCCTTCCATTTTCTTCATACATCTTTTAGGATTCACTTGTGCATGTAGTTGAGACCAGTGTCTCTTAATATAGCACTTTTCAATTCTCTCTAAAAAACTTATGTACTACTTCTATCACATGTTGTAAATTTTCATGTAATAGTGTTTTCTGTGACTAAACTCCATTTTGATTGGCAGCTAAGACTTTTTTTTCCTGTGGCTTTAATTTATCTAAGAGGTCTTTGCATATAGATGAAATGTATAATTTGCCTGGCGGACTATTTGCGTTTTGTGGCCTTAGTTTGTTTATTGACATTAATGAGTGTTTTAAAAAGGTTTTTAATGAATAGTCTTAAATCTAAATTTGTGTGAATAATAATCCTTTTAACACAGTGCTTTTTTGTAGCTGTCTAAGTGTGTTAAATTGTTAAGCTATTTCTTTGTAAAATAGGACAATGGAATGCATAGTTTTTTTTTTCCTGTAAAGTATTTTTTTAATAAACAAAGTCTGATTTGTCCTTTACTGATGTTTCATGACAAAATGAATAGCACATATGAATTCTAGCTACCTGGAACCTGTTTTTAAAGTATTTATCCCTCTCTTCTCTGTTTTCTCTTATTTTGTACTATTTTAGAAAATCTTGACTTTTCTAAGGAAAAGGTTATAGATTCCAGGGTAAAATTTCATCCATATCAAGAGGCAGTTAGTTTGTGGGGAAGAAGGAAAACTATGCTTGGCATTGTGGCAGTTAACCCTCTTAACCACATAAATTGTTCTATATCTGAGAGAACAGTCTTAAATTTTTGATCTGGGGATGTTGGTATTTTTGAAAGTACATGCATGCAGTGTTAGTTAATGAACATGCTCTTAACAGACGTTTCAGATTTCATTGCTGTATTAAGGGACATAACTCAGTGGTTTTTTTCCTCATCAGTTCTTATTTGTGTGAACTTCTCATTAATTAAGGTACCTTTCCTAAGCACTGATAGCCCTTGCTTATGATTAGGAAAGGAAAAGGAAAGGAACTGATGTTTTTTGAGTAACTGTTGAGGAGATGGGGACGACAGGATGAGATGGTTGGATGGCATCACCGATTCAATGGACATGGGTTTGGATGGACTCCGGGAGTTGGTGATGGACAGGGAGGCCTGGAGTGCTGTGGTTCATGGGGTTGCAAAGAGTTGGACACGACTGAGTGACTGAACTGAACTGAACATTTAATCATCACAGCCTTGAGTAGGAAGGTAACAATGCAGTCTCCATAATACAGGTGAGAAAACAGGCTGTTAGACCGAATAAATTACCTGAAGTTACATAGTGGGAGCAGGCATTTGAATGCAGTTGTGGGCTCAAAGCCCATGCTCTGTTCAGTAAGAGCCTTGGGGAGCATTGTAGCTTTGTACATGGGGTCGCTACTTAACTAGTTTTCCCTAGTTTTACCTGATTGCAGTTCTTTCAGGAACTCCCCCCAAAGCCTCTCTGTGTGCTAATAAAGTAAAATGCTTAATTAGTCTAATTTTACATCTTAAAGCAAATATTTAGATATACATAAAATGACTTTTTGATTAGTCATTCTTCCCGTGCTTTTCTTTAATCAGACGTTCCTCTTGAAACCCAACAGAACTTTTAGCTGTAAGGACAGGAAAAGCTGTCAAGAAGCAAAAGCAGAAAGGAAACCACTGCCAATGTGTGGAATATAAAAATAAGCCTGGGTAAAATGATTTTAAATTATTCTGTGGGAGTTACTTTTATCTTGGTAGATTTTCCTCATCCGTGAAACGGGAATAGTAACTTCCATTTATGTCGATTTCCTAGCTAATCCGAAGTTAGCTAGCAAACATTTACAACTGCCCATCTTAGGCTTTCCAGACTGGTCTAATCATTATCTCATTAGCTTTAAACGGACCCAAATGCTACCATTGCTGGCCAAGCAAGGTCACTGCTTCAGTTGAGGTTAGAATCACCGTTAGAGTTCAGTGTTCCGTTAATGGCCAAAAAAAAAAAAGTATAGGAGAGGAAAGCAGCTTGCTTAAAACCTTAACCTGTTCTTACATATTCATCTGACCGGTCCTTTCTCCTGACCTCTGTCAGCCTGCTTGAATTCTTAACCTACAAACAGTTCCTCTCGCCACCTGCCCCTATCCTAATTGGGGAAGTGCCTTGGAACTGTCCTAAGCCTTGGCCCCTCTCTTCCTTTATTTACCCTTGAGCACCCAGAAAGCTGAAGTCCCAGAGCTGTTGGGAGGCAGGAGAGGTAGGGATTTAATAAGCCGCAGATTGCCAGGTCTTTCGTTGCAGAACAGCGTAAATTCATGAAAACATTTGTTCCTTCAGCAAAGGTTAAGAAACTGTAGGCCAGGCTCGTGCCACGCCCTAGCTTCTGACCTCATGGTGCCCCCAGCCCATTGAGGAAGACCGGCAGTAAATAATGAAGCACAAAGAAATATAAAACACAAGGAAAGCCGAGTGTTGCAAAGAAACGAACAGGGAACTGTTGAAATATCTGGACCGACCTCCTTTAGATGGATGGCTGGGAAGTCATTTCTGAAGAAGTGACCTGAAGGGTGAGCTGAGGAAGCTGCTCGGGGGCCCGTACCGCCGCGGTGCAGCTCCCCAGCCCCTCGGTCCCGAAGCCTGGCGGAGGCTCGGCGGGAAGGCCCCGGGCCGGGGGCGGAGCCAACTTCACAGCAAACCCCGGAAAGCGGAAGCTGCAGCCCGGCTACACCGTGGTCTGCGGAGCTGCTGCTTCCCAGGTCTGGGTCGGCTGAGTCACGGCCCGGCCCGGCCCGGCCCGGCCTGGCGAGGACGCGTGCCCGCCGCCCCGAAGCAGCTGCCACCCGGGCCCTTGGGACCTCTGCACTTGACTTTTCCGGCCGGGCACAAAACCTTCGGCCGTTGCCGTAGCGACTGGCAGTCTAGCGAATACCTCCTTCACTTTTTATCGCCCTCCTTTCTCAGTTCATTGTTTGGTTATCTTAGGGTCAGTCCGATGACCCTATAGGTCAGGCTTGGAGGGCGCCGGCTCTCTGGCAGCAGGCTGCCCTCGTCTGGGCGCTGGGCAGCCGGCTGCCTCCGAGGTTGGGGCGGCCTCCGTGGTCTCCATGGTAACGGCCCGGCCGGCGTCTCTGCCTCGGGGGGAAGATGCGGCCTGCAGGGTCCGCCGCCTCGCCCCCTGCCTCACGGGCGGGCCGGGGCCACTGAGAAGGAAGGTCCCGGCCGCTGGACGGCGGGGCATTGGTCACCAGGTGAGTGCCGGACCTTGGAGAGCGGAGGAGGTAGGGTGCGGGTCAACCCCACCCACCTCCCCTCCTCTTGCTTTCCTGCATCCCTAAACACACCGGCACAAAATCTCTGAGAGAGGCTCCGGTCGCCGCTGCGCCAGAGGGTTTTTTGTTGTTGATGTTGTTGTTTTTGGTATGCTCTTGTTTTTGTTTTTGTTTTTCCTGGCAAACAGCCGGAAAACGAGACGGTCAGCAGCTTATGGAGAGGCTGAGAGAAGCGTTTTTTGACTTCTATCCAAACTGGGAAAGTACCTTTAAACTACTGGACTCACCGACTGCTTCTCCTTCGTTTTCAGTGAAAATCCCGTTCTCTGGCTGGAGACACAGATGGCCTCAAATGAGAGAGATGCTATATCGTGGTACCAAAAGAAGGTAATATCAGTGTATTTTTATTTGTAAAGCATGCTTCCTGCAGAAAGCTCCCACAAAGAATACCTATCATGTTAGTTTTTAATGTGTTTGGTAGTGCAGTGTATTCTTACATGGTATCTCAAATGGAAAGCCTAGTGTACAAGGTCACGAGGTCTTTTGAATTCAGTTCCAGGTCCTCGCATGAGATTTTCAACCTCCTGTCTCCAGACTACATTCACAGTGTCACAGCAGTGCTCTGAGATTTTGCTTCTCATCAAATTGCTGTTTTTTTAGACATAAAACTTTTATCTGCATGGATCAGACTGTTACTGTCAGCAGTCTTAATGAGCTGCCTGTTTTATTTCTGTTTAGTTTTCTACTGATACTTTTTAAGTGGAAATATCTTTTAAGATTGATATTTAATTTGAAATATTTTGGACATTGCTTCCAGCTAAGTTTGGGATTTTGAAGGAAATAGTCCTTGGAAATAATAATTTATCCTAGCCTCAGAAAAGCACAGACATTTCCCAGATACCATATAGACACTTGAAATAGTTTCATGACTTTTGTGAGACTTGGCCTAAGTAAAAGAATTTCCTTTCCATCATTTAAGTAGCCTGCTTCTTATTTCAGATTGGAGCATATGATCAGCAGATATGGGAAAAGTCAATCGAACAGACTCAGATTAAGGTAAACTGATTTCTTTGATTTTTTTCCACTTTGTTTTACTGCATTAATGTGTTGTAAGTACTGGATTGTACTTACTTTAAAAAAAAATTATTTATTATGTGGCTGTGCTGGGTCTGAGCTGTGGCATGTGGGATCTTCCTTGGGTCACGGGGGATCTTTCATTACGGCACACGGATTCTCTATTTGCGGTGCCAGGGCTCAGAAGTTGTAGCACACAGGCTGAGTTGCTCTGTGGCATGTGGGATCTTAGTTCCCTGACCAGGGATGGAACCCATGTCCTTCGCATTGCAAGGCAGATTCTTAACCACTGGACCGTCAGGGAAGGCCCTGTACTTACTTTTTAAAAAAAAACCTGCATTTATCCACTAAGGTATTCTTTGTTCTTTGAAGTTTATAAGGAAAACAACAGTATCAGTGGGATGATAAATGATGATTAACATTTGGCCTCCGTATGGGAGGAACAGAAAGGGGTAATTGGTCTATGATCAATTTGAAATCAAATATCCAGTATAAACGGAACTATAGCTCTTTAACTGGCGTAGTTAAGAGTTAGTTGTGGTAATACAAGGCCAGTTTGCTAGAGCTTCAAGGTTTTCAGGTGAAGCTGTGAAAATGAACTATCCAGGTTTTTTAGAGCACCTCCTCCTCCTCACCTCTCTCCTCCTTCCTTTTCTCCTTTACTCTTGGCTTTCGTCCCCCACCCCTCCCACTCCCTCTTCCTCTTTTTCTTCCTCTGCAAGTCAAATAAAATCCATTTGTTACCTGAATCACTTTTTCAGTTACTGGTTTAGAGTATGATCTTAAGTATTTCAGGTTCTTAAATGTTTTTCTACACTTCTTTTGGATCTGAGCAGTTTCTTGGAGTTACTTCATGCTAACCAAGCAACCAAAATTGATGTGTAATTCAGATGTCAGCTTATTAATTTATAATAGGGGAAGGAAGGGTTAAATAATCTAATGTTCCCAAACCAAAGCTGTGGGATCAATATGTGTTGCGGGAGTGGGGGGTTTGGGGGAATGGGGATGTTGCAAATTTAGTCATGGAATTGTTGCTTGGTAGCCATATGTAATTGCATAGTCTTGAGAGATGTGGAACAGCCTCAAGACCATCCTGCCCTTAAAGAATGTCTATTAACCTTAATATTTAGATCTACAGATTTAGGCTCTTACCTCCTTGGAAAGTACTGAATAATGGCTGGCAGATTCTTGTTTTTGGACCTTTCTTTTTAAAAGATCTTTCCTCAGACCCTCTGTTAACAGTAAAAAAATATTTATGTCTGTGTGTTATGTTGCTTCAGTTGTGTCCGACTCTTTGCAACCCTATGGACTGTAGCCCACCAGGCTCCTCTGTCCATGGGATTCTCTAGGCAACAATACTGGAGTGGGTTGCCATGCCCTACTCCAGGGGATCTTCCCAGCCCAGGGATCAAACCCATGCCTCTTAGGTCTCCTGCATTGGCAGCAGGTTCTTTACCATTAGCACCACCTGGGAAGCCCAGTACAACTTAATAGTTTGTTCTGTTTATCCCCAAGTCAGATTGGTTGGGCTGGGACATTTAAATCTCAGCTGAAATACTTTCAGGGCATGTTCTTTTTATAAGCCAATCAGCTAAGAAATTATTAGAAATACATGGTACTTGGCTAACTTTTCACAATTTTGTACAGTCTCTGATGTTTTATATTAATAGGAGATGGGGTTAGGATGAATAAATCCCCCAGTTTTATATTGTAGCTCTCAAATCCTGTCCTGTTGTTCTTTGGTGAGCTCCAAAAAGTGTGGGTAGTTAAGCCTGGTATAATGGAAAGTGCCCAGTATTAGGGGTTGGATCTCCTTTTGTGAGCTGTCTCTAGCTTTGTGATCTTGAAAAAGTCCTGTAGTTTGACTGGTTTTGGTTTATTTATGCTTTAAAAGATTTTACTTCCTGCTATACAATTTCTTTACCTACCTCTTTCCTCTACCTGATTTAAATATTTCCACAACTCTTATTTCCATGCCATTTTATATATACCCTCCTTTTGGTACACTGTATCCTGTGTTATTTGTTAACCTGTGTGTTTTCATGGACCTCAAGGACAGGAATTGCATTTGTATCCCATTTTTTAGAACATCTTGATTCATACTAGGAACTTGGTGTTTCTGTATTTGATTAAAGCCCACCTATTATGTATATTTTTAATCATTGTTTTCTCATAAGGTAATCGTAACACCTCCTTAGTTTAGCAGTGGAAAGAATAAAGAGAACTCTAAAATTTACTGTTAAGGTACCAAGGCCTCCCAGGTGCTAACAATACAGTCAGCAAGACACACATGGTTCTTGCCTTCATGAATTTCACAATCTAATGGTGGTGGGAGAAAAGCCATGTTTTTAAGTATGTTTAAGTCTTAGATGAAAACTGACAAAAGTATAGCTTACAAAGAAGTATTTAATGCAATTTAAAACAGATTACACAAATATAATGATTTTTGAAAACTAACATCAGATGACAATATAATAAAATTAGAAATTATATAATAAAAATATAATTCAAGGTTATAAAAAACCATAAATTAAAAAAATCTTAACTTGGATCATGAAAAGTGGTAGGCACTGTACTGCAAACATTTATTGAGCTACTATGTTTAAAGCATTTTGCTAGGTACTGATTACAAGGAGAAAAAGTATTTACAAACAGAAGTATAACAATTGTATAAGGGAAGAATAAGTAGCTCAATCTGGTTGGAGTATAAGGTATGTAAATGAGATGATATATCATAAGGCAGTTTGGAGCTGAGTTCACTGATCTAAGAACTTTAGACACTATATTATAGAAAATGAAAAAAATTGTATGGTTTTGAGTAGAGGAGGCACATCATATCTGTTTTTTTGCAGGATAGAAATAAAAATGTAGTTATAACAAAATTTGTAGAGGGCTTCCAAAGCAATGCTTGATGAAATTACATCACTCTAAATGCCTGTATTAACAAAAGAAATGTCTAGATTGATTAGGAAGAAAGAGTCACAATGATTCAAGCTAATATGAAAAGAATCAGAAATAAATCAAAATAAAGGGGAAGAAATATCAAAAATAAAACTAAAACAAATGTTCATGTATTCTTTATTTAAGAAATATTTGTTAGCAGCTACCTATCATGTGTAGGCAATAGGCTAGGCAATATGTCTGTATAATGATGAACAGAAACATTCAACTTTTTTTTTTCATGGAGCTTGTGGTAATGTGGGAGACAAAACAATAGTAAAATTAATCCTAGTAATGAATAAAAATTGCTTTGTGATAAATGCTAAGAAAGAAAGCTATTATTTTCAAGCTGTTATAACAGGGAAATGGACCTAGTCAAGGAAGTCAGAGAAGCCTTCCCTGAAGAATTGATGTGTCAAATGAGATCTGAAGGATAAATAACAGTTAATTAGGTCAAGAACAAATACACTAATCCTACACAAATTCTTTCATAAAGCCTAGGAGAAAGTGTGCTTCCCAGCTCATTTTAGGAGACCAGTATTACCCTGATTACAAAGACAGCACCAGAGAATTTGTTGTAACTATACTACAAAGCTACAGTAATCCAAACAGTATGGTTTGGCACAAACATAGATAGATAGATCAGTGGAATAAAATAGAACATCCAGAAATGAACCTACACTTATATGGGCAATTAATCTACAACAGAAGAGGCAAGAATATACAATGAGAGAAGGACAGTTTCTTCAATAAATGGTATTGGGAAAGCTGAAAACTACATGCAAAGACTCAAGCTGGACTGCTCTCTCACATGATGCACAAAAATGAATTCAAAATAGATTTAAAACTTGAATGTAAGACCTGAAACTATAAAACTTCCAGAAGAAAACATAGGCTGTACAGTCTTTGACATTGGTCATATTAATATTTTTTTGGATACATATCGTCAGTCAAGGGAAATAAAAGCAAAAATAAAGAGGGCTCCGACAAACTAAAAGACTTCTGCACAGTAAAGGAAACTATCAATAAAATGAAAAGACCACCTAATGAATGGGAGAAGATATTTACAAATGTTTTATCCAAATATACAAAAAATTCATACCAGTCAACATCAAAAAAAGAAACCTATTAAAAAATGGACAGAGGATCTGAATAGACATTTTGCAAAGAAGACATACAGATGATCAACAGGCACATGAGAAGATGTTCAGCATATTAATCATAAGGGAAATGCAAATCCAAACCACAGAGAAATATCACCTCACATGGCAGAAGAGCTATTATCAAAAAGACAATAAATTATAGTTGTTGGTGAAGATGTGGAAAAAAGGGAACCTTTTTGCACTTGGTGGAAATGTAAATTAGGGCAGCCACTATGGAAAACAGTACGAAGATTCCTTAAAAAATTAAAAATAGAACAACCATGTGGCCTAGCAATTCTGCTGTTGGGTATTTATCTGAAGGCAACAAAAACACTAATTAGAAAAGATATATGCACTCCTATGTTCATAGTAGCTTTGTTTACAATAGCTAAGATAATGGAAGCAATATAAGTGCTCATCAACAGATGGATGGATAAAGATGTGGTATCTATATACAATGGAATATTACTGTTACATAAGAATGAAATCTTGCTGTTTGTGACAACATGAATGGCCGAGAGGATGTTATTCTGAGTGAAATAGAGAAAGACAAAAACTCTATGATAATTTCCCTTAATATGTGGAATCTAAAAAATAGATGAACAAACATAACAAAACAAAAAAAGCTATAGATGTAGATAGAGTAAACAGATGTTGCCAGAGAAGGGTTACAAAGGGAAAGAAATAGGTGAGGGAGATTAAGAGGTTCAAACTTCCAGTTGCAGAATGAATGAGTCACTAGTGTGAAATGTAGTGTGGGGAATATAGTTAGTAATTATGTAATATCTTTGCATGGAAAGATGATAATTAGACTTGGTGATCATCCTGAACTGTATAAAGATATGAAATTATTATGTTGTATAACATACTCTTTTAGGTCAATGATATTTCAAAAACAAA